AAATCAAGTCGAAGCATATTGTTCCAACTCTCACCTAATCTAAACTATTTCATTTCTGCAATAGTTGTACAAAAACAAAGAATTTTTAACCCTTCATTTTCACTTTTATTATCATTATTATCATTTACAAACTTGACTTTGATTTTATGAACAAAATGTGACCTTCAATTATTTTTATGGAAATAAAAAAAAACACCAAGAAAAGAAAAAAAAACAGGCAACAAAATGAGATAGCTGGTCATCTCGGCTGACGCTTGGTTATCGAGATAACTTGAATTATTTCGAGCGATCAATTGTATTTTGAAAGGTGGAAGCCAAACGTTATATATGGATTTGTCTTGTTTTCATTGATTGAACGTTTGGATACCACTTCCAAAATATAATTGATCGCTCGAAATAATTCAAATTATCTCGATAACTAAGCGTCAGCCGAGATGACCAGCTATCTCATTTTGTTGCCTGAAAAAAAAACACTTTTGATTTCATCACAATTTCTCCCCCATTGAATTGTTGAAAAAAAATTCCTTATCCGAAAAATCTATTAAGCGAGCCCATAAATCAGGGTTTGTTCATCGCCTGCTTTTTCTTAGCTTCTCTTATGATTTTGGCCATATCTTCACTACCTGAATCGCAAATGAATCATTTGATTAGAATGTTATTTTGGTTTTCATATGAAAATTCAAGCCCATACCATATTCAGCTGCGTCAAGTACAGTAAATCCTTCCTCGGCTTTAGCGTTAATATCAGCGCCATTTTCAATGAGAAACCTAGCCACGTCTTGTTGGTCTATATGATAAATGAAAAGCAAGAATTTCGAGCATTGAGAATGAAATGAGCAATGAATAAGTAAGTAAGTATATAAAAAACATTGTATAAAGGGAAAACAAGTAGGAAATGCTGGTCCATTACTATTCATAGCAGCTAGATGAAGAGGTGTATATCCATCCAAAGTTTTGGCATTGATATCGGCTCCTTGTTTGATGAGTTTTCTGACATCATGCATGTTTCCATTCCGAGCAGCGTAATGAAGAAGAGTAAATCCAGAACGATCTTTGGCTTTGACGGAATCATCACTGAATGGTTTGTCATCGGCGGTCTCGAGCATTTCGGCGATTTTGGTTTCACCTGATTTCAACAATGAAATCAAAAGAATATTTTCAATCGAATTTACGTTAAAACTTGAGCGACAGTTTTCGAAAATGTTGTCATTCATAATACCTTTGGAGATCGCGACTTGAAGTGGTGTTTTTTCGTAAATGTTTACAGCTCGCATATTGGCACCGCTATCGATGAGAAGTCGCACTAAATCCTCATGGCCTGAATTGTGAATGAATCAAAATTGAAAAGAGGCGTTGGTTTTATTGTGTGAATTTGGGTAATTACCATCTACGGCCATATGCAATGGTGAATTTCCAAAAATATCTGTTACATCGAGATTGGCACCATGTTCAATGAGAATTTTTGCGATGTCAACATTGCCTAATTTACGGATGAAATAAAAAAACAAAATTCAAGATAATGTTCTAGTTTCGACATAACCATTTGAGCAATTACCTCTCACTGCAGCCGTTAGAAGTGCGGAATATTTATATAGATTTCTGGCATTCACATCGGCACCGTGTTCGATGAGGAACCTAACAACATCTAAACTAGTATCTGAATTTTGAAAGGGTCATAAAAATTCATTAACCGTATGCAAAAATGTCGTTTCGAGGTGAAAATCAATGATAATTACTACTCATAGCGGCTATATGAAGCGCTGTATTACTTGCATTGTCATTTGCATTGAGATTAGCACCATTCTGGATCAACAGTTTAGTTATTTCGTCATTGCCTAAACCAAATTCATAAAGAATTATTCAAATATTTGTTCGTCCAATTCAAGTCAAGTGTTGAATGGAAGTTTCAGATCAGCTCACCTTTATTCAGAGCAAGTTTAAGTGCCGAATTTCCGTCGCTATCTTTGACATTGACATCCACTGATTTGTTTATCAAACACTCGACCATTCTCTTTGAACCTAGGTTGTACGAGAAGAAATTGGAAAAATAAGTTTGTTTTTCAATGAATTAATGCTTAAATTTTTTTTTTCGATTTTTTTCGAACTTCCTTCTTTCAATTTCTTAGATAAGTCGATTGTTGGAAAAAAAAATGCTGAATAAAAATAGCAGTTCAATCATTTTTCTAATTGAACCGAATCCAACTTACCGTTCTCAATTGCAACATGCAACGCTGGTTTTCCAGACTGATCTGTCGTGATAACACTCTCGTCGCATTCGTCATGACCTAAGCAATTATTCAGTCTCATTATTATTATCACATTCAAACTACGCACAATTTATTCTTGGATTACCCTTCTCAGTGGTCACATCAATCGCATTGATATGATAAAAATAATAACCGTCATTATCAAGTTTTGTGATCGTATTCGCTGTACCTTGGTCCAAAAAAGTTGATATTTCTTCTGAAAATTAAATTTTAAACGATTTTTTTAAAAACATTGTTTTTATTTTTTATAATATTGAAAGGTTTCATTTTCAGAATCAAACAAATTGCTGCATACCTTTTATTTCTGTTTCATCGTGTCGTTGTTCGACTTCATTTATTGGAACACTGAAAAGAAACAAGAGAAATAGACTTTTTTTTACTGCTTTGAATGAATGTGTTGAAAATAAAAAGTGAGTTATTAACTTACCCAAAGCCACCTGTGGAGACGTAGGCAAAGCAAAACATGGAAATAAAGATTGTGAAAATAAATATAGGTATTTTATTTTTGTTATTTTTTTCGCCTACTCTCTGTTAATTTATAAAGCATTGCGAGAAATTCTCGAATACAACAAATTTTATACAACTAGAAATGTTAGAATGTAATATTTTCAATTGAAACGTGTTTGAATAACCTGTCACAAGCAGCGCAATCACAGCGAATACTATCAACTTCATTTTCCTTTCTTTGCACACGAAATTCGTCTCGAAATGTTGAATTTGAAATTAATTCAATTGTGACTTCACACGAAATAGAAACACTTTCCGTAAATAGTTCGGAAATACAGAATTAATTGAGTCGACAAGAAACTGAAATTGAAATTGGAACTGACAGAACACGATCACTGATTGTCAATAACTGATGCATCCTTCGAATCAAGCAACGGCTTTTATTTCGATTCTACCACTATAAACGTCAGCGATCAACATCAACAGAGACACTATAGCACATAGCATTAAACGCACTATTGCTTCACTCTTTGTACACAATTTGACATCACTTATGGTTTGGCGCTCGTCGTACGTTTTTCAAACGTTTATGTTTGATTCAAGTATTTCACCGATTTCACCGAATTTTCGTACTCAATATCAATGTATTCATTTTTACTTGGAAGTTTTTTTTTATTGCAATGATGTTTTAAAATATATTTTGTCGAGGAATTTTTTTTTTCCAATTTCCAAAATTAAATGAAATTAAAACACATAGCATGAAACGTATTCATAGTAGAAATGCATATGTATTAGTTTGTACTTATTCATTATAATGTATTTAGATAGGACGCTAGCGCGGCCTGTTTCGATTCATGAACAAGAAAATATTAATCACATGCAGATCAACTTCGAAGAAACAGCGTAGAAAAACAAAATCACAAGCACTCACATTGTTTACACTTGAACATTTTTTGTAAACTTGTCTACTGATAATTCGTTGAATCGTATGCATCTTGCAAAAAAAACTTAAAGATGTTTCGAAATTGAGCGAATATGATCGTTGTTATCACTCACTGCTTTACCATACTCATTCGACTGGGTCTTATTTTGTTCCCGAGAGATTTTCGCCACTGAGCGGAAATTCAAATTTCATCTGCCCATGCACTTGATTGCAGCATGCAAGGCAAGCTTTTTAGATTGATCTCTCATGAACACTCTCCGTTGCTTAGGAAAACTAGCATTCATCGCATTCGTCATGACCTAAGCAATTAGTTTTTATCACAATCAAACTAAGTACAATCTATTCCTGGATTACCCTTTACAGTGGTCGCATCGATCGGATTGTAAACATTATGAATATCAAGCTGTGCAATCATATTCAATATTTCGTAGTTGATGTGTCATCTAAATTTAGCTTGAAAGGAATGTTTCCATACGATTGATATATCAATACCATGGTTTTTTTTTACTTTTTGAATACTATTTACATTGAATTCGCAGTTTAACCCGCAGACGGGCAAGCTAAATCACTTAAGTTGTCGGGCAAGGTGGTCCAAAGTGGACCCATAGTTTTATGGCTGTAAAATTGAAAAAAAATACAAAATATCTCCAAAAGTGAGACTGTGCTGGAAGCTAGAAAAATGCATCTCTCAAACATGCCATATGCCGATAAAATTGAATGAAAACCAACAGAGATACTACTCTGATTTTTTTGTCTAAATTTTGTTCCATATATCCTTGTATAAGCTTATATTGTAATTATTGGATGTTCGTTCAACGCAACCATGATACGTGAGTCTGAATGTAACACAATGGTATGTGTCATCGATATTGTTAACAAATTCAACGAGTATTTTGTGTCCAGTATTGTCCAGATTAATGAA